TGGACACAGAGGCTGAATTTCGACACATTGATATTCCAAATACTTTAGAGACTATGGTAAACTCAGCAACTATCTTTCGAAATTTTCAGAAACAATTTTCTTCTCAGCAACATCTCAAACTTTTTACCGATTAAATTCATTTTTAAAATAGATAAATCGGTTTCAAACAAAAAAACTGGAAATACGAAAGGACGATCACCCATTGACAAAGTTGAATGTTAAGAGATTTAGATAAGAACGCTAGAAATTCTGATATCTAAAAATAAGATATAATTCTGGTAACAAAATATTAAAAAAAATTAATTTCATGTAAAAATTGCTAAACCTTATAAAACTCTTCAAAACTAGGTAAAACACTGTAAAACATTGTATAAGTTTATAAAACACTGTAAAATTGAGTTTTACAGCTTCACAGTGTTTTACACTAAGCCTTGAGGGTTCTACCCTAACCCTTAGGGGCAATACAGGGTTCATGGTATTGTACATTTTATAGAATTTCATAGTTATACAGAGTTCAATGGATTTATCGAGTTTGTTAGAGCGAGTTTGTTCGTCAGCAACTGTAAATATTAAACTTTTGAGAAACAATGTCATATTCGACAACTATATTTCAAGCAGAGAGTTTTGTTGAGTATTATAAATTTTTATAGAGTTTAATATTTTTCAAACTTTCCAGAAACAATTTTATCTTCAACATTATAAAAAACACTTTAGAAACTAACTTTGAAACTCTTCAGAAACCATTTTCTCATCAAGCCCTTCAGCAACTATTTTCATTGCAATGATATATCAATTTCCTTAGGAACAACAGCAAGCGATCTTTCTAAACAATGGTTCACTCGTCAGCAACTGTAAATAAATATCAAACTATTATGAACAATGTCATATTCCATAACTATATTTCAAACTCATCAAAACAAAACTACAACTTCTTTTCCGAAACAATGGCACATTCTTCAGCAACTATCTTTCAACACTTCACTCACCTTATTAAACTCCATAAGACTCTATTAAAGCTTAAATTTAAAACTTATCTAACCCAACTTAATACCGCAACCGAATGTTTCTATATTGAATTTAACTATTAAATTATTATAATAAATTAAATTAATATTAAATTAAAAACTAAATTTAAACTAAACTTCAAACAAAATCATAACCGACTAAAACTAGAGCTTTTCAGTCTGTATTTATAGGCTTCTTTCCATACATTCTCATCAGCGTATATATCAAGTCATTAATTAAATAATGAAAAACTATGAACACATATTTTAAGACCTCCTTTTAACGCTGATTGGTTTGAAACGAAAAATCACGCCATAATGCTGTTAGTTTGTAGGAAGTATACAATTTTTGACAATCCTTCTTAAAACGTGTTTTAAAAAACGTTCACTAAAAAATCAGGCCACGCTCTACAGTTCAACGCTTTAAATTTGCAAAACCCTTTAAATGGACACAGCGGCTGAATATCGACACGTTGATAATCCAAATACTTTAGAGACTATGGCAAACTCAGCAACTATCTTTCGAAATTTTCAGAAACAATGTTCTTCTCAAACTTTTTACAGATTAAATTCATTTTTAAAATAGATAAATCAGTTTCAAACAAAAAAACTGGAAGTACGAAAGGACGATCAGCCATTGACAAAGTTGAATGTTAAGAGACTTACATAAGAACGCTAGAAATTCTGATATATAAAAATAAGATGTAATTCTGGTAACAAAATATTACAAAACATTATAATTTCAAGTAAAATTTTCTAAACCTTATAAAACTCTTCAAAACTCGATAAAACACTGTAAAACATTGTATAAGTTTATAAAA